CCATAAAGTTTAGATCCCTGTTGCACACGCTAACCTTTGGAATCATTTCCCCCGAATTCCCACTTTTCCCACGGAACTGTTTGCTGTCCCACTTGGGGAAAGATGAACATCTTTGCATCTTTGGAAAGATCGTCTAGAAGCGAGGGGAGTATAGCTGAACTCCTCAGAAATTTATATATACACATCTTAATATATGATGAGGTTCAGCAAATCGGAGGTCAGGGAATTCTTCCTTTCACCTCCTTACCGGTGCCCCTAACACGGAGGTATCTCCAGATTACTCCCCGAGGTAATCCACCGGGCTGATGGCTGGAATAGAGACGGCTGTCGACTGATCTGACACATGCTGATTTTCGAGTGACATCAAAAGCAAAAAAATAATAAAAAAAAGAAAAAACAAACAAACAAAGCGACATGCCTAAAATGGGAGTAGTGAATCCCTGACGATTTATTTAATATTTGATAGATCATAATACCCTTCACCACAGATGTATCAAGATCAAGATCATAGTCCTGGTTACTGAATTTATCTGCACGATCATTGGTACCACAAATATTCCCACAATGGAGCCCCTGTTTGCAGCCACCTTATCCACTTGGACGCAAACTGTCCAAGGGCAGACGAGAACGGCTCCTCGGGTCAAGACGCTAGGCAAAGATAGGCAAAGCACGGAAACCCATGAATATTAATGGTCGGCCCGATTTTAGAACTTTCACATGCAGCAATCCAGGAGAAGAGCATGAAAAAGAATGTGATCGGAAGGCATCCGGAAGGCATCCGGAAGGGTGATGTGTAACTATAGGTAAAAAGGTAGAAAGTACGATAGATACTAAAAGAAACAAAGATATTAAAATGGTTATAGAGTACAAAAAACAAAACCAAAAAAAAGGTGTAAAAGGGAATTAAAAGAAGAAAATCCAATCCAAAAAATACTAAAAGAGAAGTTAAGAGAAGTGGATTTCCAGTGGAGAAGTTCTATTCTTCCATTGACCTTCCATTTGGGAGATTTGGAGAGAAAGTTGCCCGTAAAAGAGTGTAACTCCCGATCTTCCACCGAAACCCTGTTCCCCCCCCGGAGAGACCAGAGAGACCAGAGAGAGAGAGCCTTAGCCCCTTCGATTATTATTGCTTGTCTTCTTATTATTTATCACATATTACCAAACACTCCACTCTACTCTACTCTTCTTCTCTTTCTTTTACTCCGTAATATCTCTCTCTCAACTCTTTTATTACCCCCTTCACTTCTTTTTTATTGTTTTTTTGCTATCTTTTTTTTTTTTTGCTTTTAACCTTGGTCACTGTGTGGAGCCCGTATACTCAGATACCCAGATAACCAGTCTTTCGTCATTATCCAGTCACAGCATGCCTTCGGACAATGGACTAAAGATGCTGGTTATTGCTTGATCAGGTCCACCATGGATTTCATTGTGAGTAAAAAATACAATACACACACTATCATGAGCTTGAACTGACTTTCTCAGCTCTCTTTGACGCACTTCTGTGAGGTGCATGGTCCTACCTCTATCATTTGCTCGCAGGTTCTACCTTTTTCATGTCCGCAATGTCACCCCGAATCCGAATCTCCCCAGAGTACCCCGGCTTCACATGAGTCTCGCTTCGATCAAGAGTCGTCTCGATCTCAGAAATCTACCGACTCAAAGTCCCCCAGAATTGAGGATCACCCATACTTCCTCAAGGGACATCCGACCTCACCCGAAGATAAATCCAGCCGAAGTGGTGCAAATGGTGACACCTGCGCCAGTTGCAGTTTGTCTCTGCCAGAAAATGTCAGCAAACAGTTACCTCCCGGTGCGCCTGGAAGTCGCGACGCCAAGGGCAATTCCACTAGCCCGGTACTACGCTCGCGCGAGCTAGTTTACTCATGTGGCAACATCCATTCAGAGGTGGATGACGAAGCCGACTATCACACCCATGCCTCTCCTCCCGACTCACTTCACTCTGCTTCAGTTGCCTCCGATGCTTCATGTCACACACACGTCCACACCTACCTCTCTCAGCGCGGCCCGCCTAACCCCGCTGACTATGCCCTCCTCCGACGCTCCTCTATTCGCACCCTAAGCTGTGAGCTCTTGCCCCGGGGACTTTCCTCCGGCCCCATCTGCTTCGGTGACGGCGTCGCTGGTTACACAATCGCCTACATTTTCCGCCTTCCAGACCCCATGGCCCGCGGCAAGCGACGAAGTTATGCACTGGTCGCATTGGCGGGACGCGATGCCGGAAGAGCATTCCGCGCATGCCCCATCATCTGGCGCGCATTCGGTCGCATCGCAACCAGCATTGTTCAAGCCGCTGAACGCTTCCAGGAAGACGAGAAGATTCGCGACGAGCAGAACAACCCGGGAAGACAGCCCGGCCGCCAGTACCCTCCCGTTTCATCCTTCCTCACCGGCCGGGGTATGGACCCGGCAGGCCGCCGTGCAGCCGGCCAGATTCGTGCCCGTAATTTGGCCGAAATCGTCGGCAATGAATACATCTTTACCGAATTACATGCTCATTTCGTCGCACTTCTCCATCAGCTGGGCTCCATGTTTGGCGGAATCCCTCTCAACGAGGAACGTTTTGTCTGCAGCACTGTCGGGGACGAAGAAAGCGCCAGTCCTTCTCAGCCAGTCTTAGTCTCCAAGGCAAGACAGCCAAAGGATGACCAGAATTATGACGGCAATGACCTCGACATGTCGAACCTTGAAATTTCCGCGGGACCCAAGGCGATTCCCATTGCGCCTCGCCGGCCCGTCATGGCTTGAAATACTTTTTTTTCCATCATTTGCATGAACCTCTTATTGAGATACCCGCCTGCTTTGTGTTTTTTTTTTTGTCTTTCAGGCACCTTCAACTTTGACCTTGTTTTATTCTCTCTCTTTTTTGTGCTTTTTTTTCTCTCGCGTTTTGGTCCAGGTTGGCAAGGTGTTTCGGTCGATTTCTGCATTGCTCATTTTGCATACGGATTCGGCTTTTTTTTTTGCAATATGGGCATGGGCATAGACAATGGCGTCTGATAAACACGGAACGGAGTTTCTTGTTTTACCAGCCTTGATTTCAGTTTTTTTCTTATCTTTTTTTTTTCTTGAAGTGATAAGCTTCTTCTGGGCATCTCGTTCGATCTTCACGAAGTTCAAGGATTCAAGCACGTGTGGTTAGCGGGTTTCCATTCCTGGGACTGGTGCTAGGCTATGATTGAGATGTCACGATCCCATGAGGCATTCAAGAGATATGTATTCTATGTATTATTTGAACACGAATGAATTCACGGTCATTGGCCACTTTTTCGGAGACTCGAGTGTTAGTTAACTAGTTAACTAGTTATTGTATGCACATGTGTATTATAGTCCGGAAGAATTCCGGGTAAAAGTACCCTTTTAGGTTAATCCGGCCACGGCCACAATCAAACCTTGGAAAATCCCACCAAAAAGAACAGCAGAGACAAAAGACCCGCATCACCTCCCACCTTCCTCCAGCAATATCAAAATGGTCGCCTTCGACAAGTGTGAGACCCGGCCGGCCCATATTGAGGCCATCCTCAATGGCCTCGACCGGTACAACCCCGAGACCACCACCGTCTTCCAGGACTATGTCGCCCTGCAGTGCGAGGACCGGTCATTCGACTGCTACGCCAACTTGGCCCTGCTGAAGCTGTGAGTTGGACCCCCTTTTTTTTTTTCATGGACTGCATTGCGAAAATCATATTTGAGAAGCTCTACTATGATGAGTATCTTTTAAACGTTTCCTATTACCTGACATCCCCATAATATACTTGGGCATGTTGAGAAATTCTGTGAAGATACTGAATGGGAAGAACCCATGCATTGGTTGAAATCAACAGCATAAATACTTCTCACAAACACTTCAAATCATCTTGACATCCTCGAATCCAAGCTGACAACAACCCTCTTCAAAAAATCCAGCTTCCAGTTCAACCCCCACCTTATCCAACCCGATACCGTGACCAACATCCTGGCCAAGGCCCTGACTGTGTTCCCCTCGCCCGCCTTCTCGCTCTGCCTCGCCCTGCTCCCAACAAACACCCAGCCCTTCCCCACCACCACCGAAGCTCAAACCGCCTCGCAGACCTCCGACTTTGTCGAGTCCGTGCAGAAGCTCACCCGCCTGTCCACTCTTCTCGAGTCCGCCCAGTACGCCCAGTTCTGGTCCACCCTGAACTCGGATGATCTGTACGCAGACCTGACCGCCGACGTGGCCGGCTTCGAGGAGCTCGTCCGCATCCGCATCGCCATCGAGGTCGGCAACACCTTCCGCTCTATCACCGCCGAGAACCTCGAGTCTTGGCTCGATATTCGCAGCCGTGACGCTCTCGACAAGTTCGTCGTCGATGTCTGTGGCTGGAAGGTCGATGGCGCCGTCATCCGCGTGCCTACCAACAAGGAGAACGAGGCCCGCTCCGAGGTCAAGAGCGAGCACGTCGGCATCGAGCAGTTCGGTCGTGTCATCCGTCGTGGCTTTGAGTTGCCCGCATAAGCGCTTACTGCGGAAGCTCTCTCTTTATTCTTGAATTTTTTTTTCTGCGTCGATTCGAAATGTTTCACTTCTTTCCTCTTTTTCGTATCACCTTTTTTTAAAAAATCTTCAAAAAGCTGTGCGAGGGAAAATTTGATTTCCATCCATGACATGAGTTCATGAATCCCACCCCCGATCAAGTGACGAACAGACGATAGATTTCGCATGGAGGAGGGGCTCGGAGATGAGTCGGGACCTGGCGCATCTGGCGTTTTTTTACACTTTTTTTCCATTTCTCTTGTCTGTATTGGATTCTTTTTTTTTTTTACTTATCCATGCAAATATTTGCACTGGATAATATGAGGAAGAGAGAGAGATGTCATGTCCATATCATAACATAACTTCAGTCGTGCCTCCATGTAAGGCCGACTTTGCTGCCAATATCAAAAATCATACAGAGTCAGTTCCAGATGTAGATGCAATGGGGATATAGCACGACATGGTATCATTACGAAATATACAAGTTCTACAAACCATCTCCAATTGATAGCAAGACTTCAATATCTGTATTAGGCTGAGGGTTTGGTCCTTCGGATAAGACGTCGAGTATACGACATTCCACTATAGTGTCACTTCCAGTGGGTTTCACGGTGTTTTGGAGATCTGCAAAATAGCTCGTGTTGACATCGCAGGCGTAGATGGCTTTTGTGCTGGGTTTCGCTGCTACAATCTCCATAGCCTGTCATAGCTTGAAACTGATATACACTATGAGGTCTTGCTCTTGTGGCGCAGCATGTGGAAGAGTGTGGTTTTCACCGTTGCTGAAACATATCATTCGACTAAAACTACATACCGCTGACGCCATGGTTCTACTTCCGTTCAAATATGGAACTACCGTCGAATGCCAGGAAGGGGACAATGAATATAGACATGGGACTCGGATCACTATGTCATTGAACTTCTCTAACGGTTGTTCGATAGTAGACGGACATCTTGATGTTGCTGTGACTGAAGTGCAGAGCAAGTAGACAGATGTCTATGGGCTTCAAGACAAGAGGCGATATAGGGTTATTCATCTACCCATAGACCTTAGCATACAAATTACAGTGTCCATTATTGACATATATAGTTAGCTGTACCAAGTTGCACAGATATCAGTTTATAGTAAGACGATTTAGAATTATATACCAAGGAAGTTAGTTCCATGTAACTCGCGTTCATAACATAAACCAGCTGGACTATGTCTACAAACCCCGTTTCAACTTGGAAGAGTTTGACTCACATGTGAAGCTATCCTCTGCATCGAATGTGATAATAAAAGTTACAAGGTGATCTCTCGGCAATGTATCCAAAATGCCAACGCAGACCAAAAAATGTAGAAAATGCTTGATTTTCCTAGTAACATTGCTATGTACAAGCTAAGGGAGGCACAATACTCATCTAATGTAAAATGTCTACACCTATCTCAACTCCTCCCACTGCACACCAGCCCATTCCTCTCGCCACCCAGTAACGCCCAACTCCTGCGGCGTACAGTTCTTACCACAAACCCCCATGATGATAGTGCCCCACTCCATGCCCGCATCATCCTTGCCAAGCCCAACACCAGGACGTCCCTCCTCAAGCATAGTAATAGCGTGCGGCACAATCTGGAACTCGAACACACGCTGACTTCCACAGTACTCACAAGCCGGGATACTTCCCGCACCGATTGTGGTGACCTTGGCGTTAGGAGCGTTGTGAGAATTCAGCCGGGCACCGACTTCATCGCCAGTCGAGTACAGCAGCGGCGTACCGCGGAACTCATACCGCAGCACCTGCTCCGGGTTGTGCTCGAGACGCATCGAGAACTTCATAAAGTCCTTGTCGAGCTCGGACTCGAAAGTGTCCTTGAGCTCGGCGCCACCAGCGCCTTCTTCCTCCATTGGCTCGATCTGCACATTATCTGGCACTTCGGGTGAAGATGGCCGCGAGAGAGTCTCGTATTCTGCGTCGAGGTAGAAATTCTTGTATGGCGCAGGGAATGCGGACTGTGCAGGCCACGGCACCGGTGTGCTTGATTCCGGTGTTTTCTTTGTCGCGGCTGAAGGGGGCGGCGAGGAGATGCGCACTTTGTCGGCGAAAGATGAGGCAAGGGTACTAGCAGACACGGCGGGCTTTTCAGCTGTAGGTGCTGTTGCCTGGGCCGGTGTTGCGAAGGGGTTGCTTCCTGCGGGGGTTGGGCCCGCAGCGGATGAGAAGGGGTTCTGGTTCGAGGAGATGTTGCTTGTCAGGTTTGTTGCGCCGAACAGGCTCGCTCCTAGGTCCTGCTTGGGTTGTTCTGGTGCGGCGGGTTGGGGTTCCTCTGTTTTCGCTTCAACCTGTTTGTTTTGTCCGCCGACGGTGACCTTGCGCGCTGCGCGGAATGCTCTGATACTGCCTGGCTTGCGGTTGCAGGGTTTTCTGGGGCAGCCAAATAGGTATAGGCGTCGTTCGTCGGTTGGGAAGTGATCGGGCAGATCGCCGTGCAATTCGAGGAGAAGGAGCATGGGGCTGTTGCAGACTTTGCAATTGGCGAAATCTCCAGGTGCTGGGGAGGCTTCATCGAGCCATTTCTGAACAAAAAAAAAAGGTGTTAGTTGGAGTTAATTATAGAGCGAGTCTTCGCAGGAATAGAACGTACCGGCCAGCCTCCAAGATGGCTGATTACATCCTCGATGACATCTTCAGCGGCATAGCCTAGAAGCACACCGGTATCGGTGAAGTCTTCATCGAGACTGGAGTCACTTTCATAGGGATCCATTTTGAATTGATTCGGAGTTAAGTGAATCAAATCTGTGATGCCCCTCAAAAAAGATAAGCGATATGGAAATACGCCAGTCCTAAAAGAGACTAGCGTGGTATTGATTACCAAGTCCAAGTTACCCTCCCTCATCGCATCACCTTCCTCCCTTTGACACTTCAACTCCATCCATCCATGGGAGTCGATTTAATCTACATCTAAGACTCTGGTTAATCAAGATTTGCTATTAAACTACCAATTAGCTCTGTCATCTTCTAGTACTACCATAATCATGCGGGCGTCTATGCCACGGCATGTCCCATTCTTCCTATACTCCATCCTAACCATCTTACTCGTCTCGTTTGGCAATGCAGCAGAACAAGAGCAACTGCGAGGAGCCGCTAGTACTGCCCCCCAAGCGGGTGGCAATAATCGGTATGCCTCTCTCTAAAGAACACAGTTCTATACGGGGCTGATATTCCTCAAAGGCGCCGGAGCCGGAGGCTCGTTTGCTGCGTATCAACTGCGCAAGCTTGCAGATAAAGCCGACATCCCTGTCGATATCGCAGTCTATGAGCGTGAATCATATGTCGGCGGCCGCTCAACAACAGTCAATGTATTCGACAACCCAGCGTACCCCATTGAACTGGGCGCTTCTATCTTTGTCCAGATCAATTACAACCTGGTCAACGCCTCCCGTGACCTTGGTCTGACGGTCAGTAATGCTGACCATGCACGGCCCAGAGAGGCCGAGGAGAGCATCGGGATCTGGGATGGGAGCCAGTTTGTTTTCACGTTGAAGAATTCGTATAGCTGGTGGAATATCGGCCGGCTCTTCTGGCGGTATGGGCTGGCGCCACTGCGTACCCAAAATCTCGTGAAGAGTGTCGTTGGAAAGTTTCTCCGCCTTTATGAAGAGCCCTTATTCCCTTTCAGCTCTCTTACCGAGGCGGCTGTCGCGGCTGACTTGATCCATGCTACTGTGTCCTCAGGGGATGTGTTTCTCCAGACAAACAGCATCGACTCGTTGTTTGCAAGGGAGATCATTCAAGCAAGTACTCGAGTGAATTATGGACAGAATCTACAGCTGATCCATGGCTTGGAATCTACCGTCTGTATGGCTACGGATGGAGCGGTTTCTATCGAAGGTGGAAATTGGCGCATTTTCGATGGCGCGCTGAGAGCCTCGGGAGCGAATATCAAAGTGAATACAACTGCCACTGAGATCCTGCGCAATGATAATGGGACTGTGCGGGTCTCCTCAAAGCTAAATGCCGCGACCGACTCAGAGCATGAAGTATTTGATGAAGTTGTCATTGCCGGTCCTTTGCAGTACTCGGGTATTTCTATCTCCCCTCCCTTGGAGTACACCCCAGATGAGATTCCATATGCGAATCTGCACGTTACACTATTTGCATCCCCACACCGCATCTCACCAAAGTATTTTGGCTCGAAGGATTCGAATGCTCGAGCGCCTGAGACTATTCTGACCACTCTACCCGAGGGCCTTGATCTGGGTTCAAACCCAGATGGTGTTGGGCCTAGCGGCTTCTGGAGTATCAGTACGCTTCGAACAGTAGATCATTCTGTCATGGAATCCGAAGAGACACAGCAACATTACGTGTACAAAATCTTCTCGCCAGAGCGGCCCACGGGTGAGATGATTGCCCAGATTCTGGGGCTAGAGAGCGAGACTGTGGGGAGCAATACAACAATTGGAGACCTTTTGATAGATGATATTAGCTGGTTCCATGAGAAGCTATGGAACCCATATCCTCTTTTGTATCCGCGAGTGACATTTGAGGATACTCTTCTGGCTCCAGGTGTGTGGTATACGGGTGGCATCGAGAGCTTCATCTCGACAATGGAGACTAGTGCGTTGATGGGCCGGAACGTTGCAACTCTCATGTTCCAGTCGTGGCAGCAAGGATCAGATAGATAGTGATGCCTTGTCTGGGAAAATGGAGCTCTAAGCTTGAAACCAATCAAGCATATTATATATAGAAAGTCCCTTTCTTGTTTTTAGCCTTGCATTTGTTAATTGCACCCCTTATCTTACTTATTTTGCAAAAACCAATGAACTTGATTCCTTTCTATGAACATGGTGTGCCCGGGCACACATATCCCATCCCTGCAATATTTTAGGTTTGCCGTAACTAGCTATCTCATTGAGATAGTGACCTTGAGCTTTAAGTGACTTAACTCTATACCTCTACGAGTATTTAATTTCTTGATCACTATTAATGGGTTACTAGCTTCAATCGAGGAGAGATTTCAGCGGTAAATTGGGTGAGTGTGGTACGGAGTAAACGGGTTTAAAATAAATAAGACCATGACTACATAGGCTAATCACTAACTAGTTAGTTAGTTAGCAGTTAGTTACCTACACTCTGTTCCTGAACCGACAATTGGAAAAGCAACAGGGTTCCTACCAGTGATCTCTGCTATAAAGTCATGAATGGAGCTATGGAAGAATATCCAGGTAAGGTATAAGATCTCCTACGCACACAATAATGATATACCGATGTCCATACGAGGAAATGTACAGATCTACGGAATGGAAGTCGATACAAAACATTATTATTACATTCTTCTGCAGGAATGTTCGCTTGATATCCCAGAGGGTGGCCGATTGGTAGCATTGATAATAGACAACATCGTGCAATGAATGAGACTTTTTTACGAGCAAGGTTTTGCATATTTGATGAGTCTACTTATTAGCGTTCGGATTGTCATTTGGTGTTTATTATTGAAAACATACTGAACGAACTTTTAACACCTAATGAATCATTTCACTTTGCATGTCCGGCGTTTCAGGCACGAATGCTGACATTGCAGTGTTAGTATCAATGAAAATCGACAAAGGCACAATATTTTCGTTTCCTAGAGCGATTCCGAGCAAAGCAGCGCTTGTATCATTGATGTCTGGGATACTCGGGATAATGGAGTTTCCTTCTGAAATGCTCTCCATTGCGAAACTCGTATCATTGAGGGTACAGAAAGGGCTGCAAGTAGCAGAAGTGCACCTGCTCTCAAATGGGGGGGTAGGTTGTTGACGTGATTCATGATGGACGTTCCAGCCGATAGAATTTTGTGGGATTGAAGTTACCGCGAAAGGTTCACCATAGCCTGTATATTGTGATATTGAATTTTGTTGGGAGAACAAAGATGGGTTCACCAAAGATTCAGGGATTATGTTAGCTCTTGACGAGATCTCAGGACTGGAAGGAGAAGGCATCATCTGATACGTCTCAAGAGAAATCGAGGGGGATCGGTTTTCAAAGTATTGATGTCTTTCTGGGAATGCTGACACATGGGAGAGACTCATCGGAGAGCCCGGGGAACTTTGTCCATCGACGCTGCAAGTTGAGCTTGTTGCAATACTTGGAGTCTCAGCAGTCTGTTCATCCCCTGAAGAGAACTCAATCCCTCTTTGACCAGAAGCATGTGCTTCCGAAATTTTGTCCGACCCGTCTGGAAACAAAACCAGTCTTTCCGCCGGTTTTGCTGTGGAAGAGCCTATGGATCGAATGGCCAGGGAATGTCAGGAATGTTCAGGTTTTGATAAGAGAATAGATCAAAACCTACGTCTGTGTAGAGTAGTTGATCCATATTGGTTGCTCGTGCGCTCAACCTGTTGGCCGACTCCTGTGGGCGTTTCAACTGCCGTTGTTCTCCCATAATAATGAGATTCTAGCGACCCCATGGCCCGCCCTAAATGAGATCGGATTCGATATTGAGGTAGTGTTTTCACAAATAGATTGATAGCCTCGAATTCGACTGAGCTCCATGGATGTATCTCAAAACTAAGAGAGTCAATACCAATTCAACATCGAAGAATAGTACAAATACCTTTTTGCGGCGGAGTCAGGCAGAGAAAGGATAATCCCTTGAGGTTCAATGTGCTGCCATCTCCATCCAAATCGAGAATATAGTGAAAGTGCCTTTTTTGTCTTTCTTTGCTTCGTAACATCGGCATCCGGCCAAAGACTTTGCACAATGATACGCAAGGAGCTTAGAAGAAACATCCTATTTCGGTTGACCTTCGGAAGGTTTGCGTTCGAACTCTTAGACCTGGATCTTTGTCTTTTGCCGTTGATACGCCATTGACGCTGCTCTTCCTGGACATGTTGTGACAAGATGATCAACAACACCTTTCTTCTTAATGGATCAATCTCTCTGATACGCTCGAGGTCAACAAAGCAACGTCGAAATATGTTTCGTTCGCGGATATCACCATCCCAGAATAGCTGTGGACAACCAGACCAGAGAACTGAGCACAGCAAGAGAGCTTCAACTCTCTCTTCCGAAAGTGCCCAGTTTTTGGTAATATTGGTAAGTTTATTCACTTGCTTCTCGTTTAGATTCTCTCCAGATTGTGATAAGAAGCCCTGGAACCATAAGCGACGTTCAGACAAAGCAGAGTCATCCCGAATTGTCCGCTTTAAGTTCGAGGCGAATATCTGATGAAGAGCAGTTATCTGCCCTGGGGATTCGAGTATCTTTCTCAGCAGGTCGCAGGTTTCCTAGTCAAATCAGTCACTAAATCCACGATAAACCTGTGAGTCACACATTGTCACCAGCCTCACGGAGTATTAGCTCGAGATGCGAAAGAGTAGCACGTAATGCTCGGTCAACCTATTATGAATCAGTAAAGGTTGATTTTTGGTTGATTTTTGGAAGACTTACTTGAAAGCCCATCGTTAGTGTTACGTGAAGTTTGGATGGAGGGGCAGCTCAAATTTCTCAGTAGAGTTGCTGCGCATGTGACTTCTTTATTTGAGCTCACCCTCATTCGGAAATTGGCCACTAATGTCGCAGGGATGGGATATGTGTGCCTGGGCATACATATCCCATCCCTGCGACATTAGATGCATTGGCATCACTTCATACAACGTACGCTTTTTCCATCCAGGGATCTTAATGAAAACAGGTTATGAGGCATTGCCCCAGGTCGCATACTATATGGTTTGCCAAAATACTGCTTAATACCAATCATTTGACAGGATGACAATGAATAATGATCAAATGGAAAATAACTGGTAAGTGATTCTGACATGCCTACGGGGAGCGACTTAATATAGTCTACAAGGCTACTATCACGGCGTGCTATATATAATATAAGACTGGGAGACTCCCGCCCTTTGAGAGAGCTTCTATCAGAACCAATTTCTATCTCGAGCCTGCCATTTCACCCACTATCAATAGTGAGCCTAAGTACATCTAGATGTATTATCAAAGCTAACCTGTCTACCTAGGCATCGCCAGTTATACTTCGCTATCCATTTCTTCATCCCAAGGTAAGAGTCCAATGTTGTTTGCCTCGGATGGCAAGTGACACACGCTTATATCCATCGAAGAAATGCCTCAGGGGTCGAAAAGTTTATATACAGCCTGCGCTACGTATGGATGTGAGGGAAAGGACATTAAGCGTGGTGACAAATGCCCTAAGAAGTGTGGATGGGAACGTCCCAAAAATGATGGGGAGGAGTAATTGGGAATAAGTTGGACATAGCCTGGGACCACTATCCCTCGCTTCTTTCGTTTGTGATTCGATGATTTGCTACCTCAGTGTATCTCGTTTATACTTGACAAAAACACCCATTGGGCCAAAAAGCCACATGGGCACCCGATTGTACATATGAGATATAACTATATAACTACATGATATCGAAACAATACAGAGTCAGGTATTTCTCGAGTTTTGGGCCATCTCGAGGGGTTTGTTTCATTACTATGAAGTACAGTTAATGGAGCAAGAGAGAGAGAAGAAAGGTTGATTGATTGAGAGCTACTTATGGGTGGTGACAGCCTAACAATCATGCCTGATCTATCAGGTGTCTACAACAACAGTACGGAGTAGTGACTTGTATCGAGCCTTGACTCTCTATCTCCTACAACTTCTTTTTAAATTAATTCCCCTCAGTCTTTATGATCAAAATCACGCTCCACCATGCTCCCTCTCTGTCTCGTACCTTATCTTGGCGGGCTAGCACTAGGCCCGGTCGTTCGTCAGCCACCATGTGCACACAGAATGTGCTAGTCCTCTGTTTCAATAAGTATCTGCCGATGGATCACACCGCTAGTTATCTTTCAGTTTTTTGTTCTCCTTTTTTCGTCTTATAAATACCTACGAGAAGAAATATATCCCACTCTTAATCCCCTCAAGTCCCAGCGAGTTGTGACTCTACCTCTACTCCGTCAACTACTGTCTTCTGTTTGAGTGATTATGTCTACCGACTCAACCTCTTGGGCTATCGTCCAGGATTTTCTTCAAAATAGTGACAGCCAAACCACCGATTGTTTCCATCGAACCCAATGGAATGAGCTCTGTCGAATCGCTTCAGGTCTTTCCGGCCATTTAGAGTGCGTGGCCTTGAACCAGGTTGCAAGTGGGCTCAACAATATTGTCCGTTTATTGGAATTCTCCGACAAGACCCGCTGGGCGGCCCGGGTTCATATTAGAAGGAACACTTCCTCCCTGAGCACCAAGCTTGAAAACGAAGTTGCAACAATGCAATTCATTAAGGAACATTCCAGCTTGCCAGTACCTCGAGTTTTTGCGTATGATTTCGACGAGAACAATTCAGTGAGCGCCGCTTTCATACTGATGGAGGTGCTCCCCGGTACCGTTGCTATGGACGCCCTAGGCGGCTACGAGGCCCATCGTGGTGTGATCCCTAAAGAATACCGACAAAACTTCTACCGCTCCGTCGCAAAGTGTCATGTTAGCCCCCCCGGTCTATAGTCTCTCCCCGCTCACTTTATATTGAAGGTCCAGTTGACTTCCTTACGACTCCCAAAGATTGGGACGATTGTCCGGAATCACGAGGGTGGGTATGAGTGTGGTCCCTTACCAGGAATCGGCGGCCCGTTCGACACAGCAACCGCATTCTTTAATGCGTGGGCCGATAGCGTTAAGTTTAAGTTGGATAAAGAAACAATCACACAGATGATGCAGAGAAGTCCAATCCCGGCGGAACAGATGGTAGCGATTATCGAGAACTTCCCATCGCAGATCAAAGCGATAGCGAGCCGGCTGTCCTTATGCAACGAAGGTCCATTCCCTCTAGCTCATGATGACTTCCTCCATAGTAATATCATGGTGGATGAGAACTTTGATGTCACGGGAATCATCGATTGGGAAGGTGCATGTACAGTTCCCTATGAGCTCGTCTCGTTCCCCGACTTTCTTACAGCTATGCCCGTCTCTTTCGACCTGCCTCAAAAATACGATCAGGATGGGCAGCCGTTTGATGAGGAACTACGAGAAACGTGGCGCGAGCGAGGGGAGTATATCGAAATGGTAAAATCAGCTGAGCTTCAAGATAGCCTGCTCTCGGCTTGCCTCAGCAGCAAGAGGAACCAGGCTATAGCGTATTCTTATGGGGCGTATACTAGTGTTGGGAAGCTTGGTCTCTATGATCGAGTTATAATGGAGTTAGAGACCGAGGAATAAAATTTTTGCAGCAAAAGAAACACTGAGATAGTTATGTAGTGGACTGAAGCTTCTCTAAGATGGAGCAAGTAGTCAGAAACTAATCACACATTCGCCCTCTGACCCACTGTTGACTATAAACCACGATCTACTGGAAACAGAACATCTAGCTAGCCAATGATACCTCGCATTAACCACCCCTATTTTGGGTTGGCAATCAGGTCTCCATGAGTCTTCATATATAGTCTTCCTCACGGAGCCCTCTTCCGTCTAGGGAACTACCGCGTAGGGGAAATTACTGCGTATGGAAATCATCTTTAGACTATCAATCATAGCTATACTCTCAGTTAAATTAGACTATTGAGATAATGATTGCATAAAATTCCTAACCGGGAATAGGAAAACAAAGGTTCTTTCTAGCGAAACATCCGATTCGGTTTGACGACTTCATATATGCTGTTGCGGTGTATCTTTATCAACCTACTATAGTTCCTAGTCAATCACTAGAATTGCGGCTAGATAGCAGGGGTGCTTAATAAAAACTCATCGTCTTCATTGCTGAGGTTGAATATTTGAAGTACATCGAGACACCAACAAAGTGGACATAGAAACAAGAGACAACAAGAGAAAGAGACAACAAGAGACAATAAGAGAAAGATATAACAAGAGAACAAGACAACATGGGACAACAAGACAACAAGAGACAACAAGAGACAACAAGAGACAACAAGAGACAACAAGAGACAACAAGAGACAACAAGAGACAACAAGAGACAACAAGAGACAACAAGAGACAACAAGAGACAACAAGAGACAACAAGAGACAACAAGAGACAACAAGAGACAACAAGAGACAACAAGAGACAACAAGAGACAACAAGAGACAACAAGAGACAACAAGAGACAACAAGAGACAACAAGAGACAACAAGAGACAACAAGAGACAACAAGAGACAGCAAAAGACAGCAAAAGACAGCAAGAGAAAGAGACACCAAGACACAATGACAACGGAATAGGACCTGATGATCAATAGGAAGGAACCTTTGAGAAGAAAAAAGGCGTCCTCAGAAAGATCTTCGGACAACAGAGAGCTATCTCTGTTATAAAGGTTCCAAAAATTAATGTCGAAGGAGATGAGAACAGAGCCCCTTCCTAGTTTGAAGATCCTTTGGTTCGGCTCCTGGCGGACAACGGGAGCACCCAAGCCAGTACAGTCTGTTTCCGCAGCGGTGCATAGGAGTGCCTCAGCCGGAGCCTACACCTGTTACCTCCCAGACATGCTTCGTGCCATTCGCAGCCTGACGAGGGCCGCCTACAGAGACCCGCCAGAGTCATCAGGATAAACCGATCACTTGACAACAGCATCAATATGTTGAATAGAGACCTGAAGCCAGAACCAAAGGTGACAAAAAATTGAAGGGTACTCAACAGGAACCACGATGTGGACCCGGAGTGGTGTGGAGAAGGAAGAAAGAAGAAGAGAGAGAAATTGGGGGGGGGGGGTATTTATACCCTCCCAATGACTATAATGCAAACATTGAAACTGCGCGCAGTAAGCGAGTTTTGACCGAAAAGGGAAGGCACCTCATCCTGGGGCTGACCGCTGGTATCGACGGTAAGATTGATACCAAGCTGCTTCTGAAGGGCATCAATTGATCCTTCGAAACTTCACACTGAGGCGCTAGCCTCAAATTTCGAATGGCCTACCTTATCGCCGTGGAACATGCAGACTGGCATCGAATCCTCAAGACCCTCGTACAACTTATCAACATGGCCTCCAAAGCGAGTGGCCTTTAGGTCAGCGTGACCATATTCGTGGGCTATACCGGCGACAACGTTATAGGCGTGTAGATGGTGGGTAATCTCCTGGAGACCGTAGCAAATTCCGAGAATAGGGACGCCCGATTCGAAGGTAGGGTCAACATGGGGCTTTTGAAACCTCTAAGGCTACATGTAAAGACTAGTAACGTTGTACGTGCAAACTGCTGTTTGTTGCATTTGAATTATGTATATATTCAAGAGGTGGGAGCTAGTAGTCCGCCTCGCTCTCGCTGCCAGGATATGCCTTCTTCCTCAGCTTCCATAGTGACTTTTCTCGCCGTGCAGCAGCTTCACGCTGATGACGACTATTATCTTCCACAACAGTCATCCAAGGGACATTGCTCGCCCGGCGGACTCTCTCTCGCAGCAATGCAAGCGTTCGATTATGCTCAACTGGATCGAGTTCGTCTGCCTGTTCAATGCCAGAGTCTCCAGCTTTCCTCGGCCCAGATGTTGATTGCTGGTAGCGCCGCTCTGCCGCACGAGCGGCGTAGTATTCTTCACTGATAGCCCAATTCGGATTATCAAGCTGGCCGCGGACCAGTACAATGCCATGGCCTTGCTCGATCGCTTTTTCCAGGTGAGATGAGGGAATAGGAGTGGAGAGCTCAAGCTTGCGCGAAGAGGTATCAATCGAGCGGACCAAAGCCAGACCAAGACAGTTTGACGCTCTAGGATCCAATGGGGTGCAACTGCCGGAACCAACAAAGAGGTAAGGAAGGTCTTCGGATGTTCGTACGATGCTGTCAGCGATGGAAAGATCAGCTGGATTACCCGCGCTTGGGTTTGCTGAATCCATGTCAACGTTTTCATGGTCTTCGTCATTCGATGGCTCTGATGTTGCCATCCCACCCATGATAGCTTTCGGCGATTCGACTGCCACGACTCCTACGATAGCGCCTTCGAGCGTTTCGTGCAGTAAATCGGGGTTGATCTGGGACCCCATGACCATGACGCCCAAAATACCTTGTCTTGCGCCAGAATAGTCCACAGTAATAGGCCTCGTGCGAGATAGCGGTACATCTGACCAAAGGGAAGTGCTGAGATCATTTGGATGAGCCATATGGAAGTATGACTGGATTTGCATCGCTCGTAATTGAGCGCTTGATCGGCTCACGAAATCAGTAGGCTGGGAGGGGAGGATTGTCAAGGGGACTCGAGCTTCACGGGCAGCCAGACCTAACGGATCCACAACTTCTGATGGGCCCTTTTCACTCATATATACCACATCAGAGAGACCAAGAGATCTGACTAGCCAAGTTGCAACCTCCAATCCTTGCCCAAAGATCCAACCAGGGTAATTGATGATCAGAGGGCATTGGGGATGTTTCTCCAGCAATGAGCGGTATTGATCCATAAGATCCATGACCGCCAGTGCATAATGATCAGGGTCTTCTTTTGGCGATGCTGCGCCAATGTGATGCGCCCGCACTATTTCACCGTCACGGGAATCGTCCAATGATGGGTGGGTGAAGGGTGGACCGAAGAATGGAGAACGCAAGCGTGCAAGATAAACTTGACCCATAGGGGCAAACTCAGGCTGGCCTGGGTCTAGATCCAGGAAAGCAACTCCATCGGTATTAGTATATCCATTTTCAGTCTCGGGTGTCGGACTGAGAACGTGATTCAACAAGTAGCGACTAAAGGTAGACTTTCCGGATGCCTTGGGGCCACATATTAGTACCCGAAGTTGTCCTTCACGTTGTGAGAGAGATTTCATTGATGCACTCCATTTCTTGTCAAGGTGAAGTGGTCGGATATGTCTATTTAAGGAATCATCGGCCGATGTATACAACTGTCAAGTCAATTAGCTTTGAGCACATCTCGAACCGGTGTAGGGTATAATAGCATACCACTGAAAAAGTCCGCTTCGAGTCTTTTGCGGCCCCTTTCAGGGTGATTTTATCTGCAGCGGTGTTCTCGCCAGCCCAGATCCTTTGATACAAAGGCGAGAGGTCACGGAGGCGGGAAATACCGCTGGTGCAGGACTTGATCTCCACTTCTGCGTCGCCATCAATTCCAGCAACACATTTGATGACTGGCAAAGAGTGTGTTGAAGGAGCATAAACCCTATGCAGTTGTGAGGACGGATGTAGTTTCGCGCCCATCAGACTGACAACACCTCTTTTGACCCAGAGATCATAGTGGCCCAACAACGCCAGATTCTAAGTCAGGTCAGTATCCACCCCAGATGGCTGGAAGGGCTCGTCCATACCGTCCGTTCCTTGATGCGAATGCAAAGTGTACTCTCATCGCTGTAGACTATGTTGCTTCTGTTCAACCGAGCCTTGGACAGAGGGAAATTCTGGAGCTCTGATGGCGTTTCTGCAGGAGATTCATAGCCATCGGCATCACCCGCAATGGACGTAATATCATCCTCGTTCATCTCTCCCGCATCCTCAACTTGGTCTTTTTCGAACTGGTTGTCCTCGGGGTGCTTCAAAGTATCCTCCACCTCGGGCTTCAATTCCGATTTTTGAGGCGGGCTAATTCTTATTGGGCGTTCCGGCGTTGTCTCTGCGGGCAATGGCTTATCTTGTTTCGTTGCTGCCTTTGTCCGTGTACCACGATGTTCTTCATTTGTCTCAGTCGCCCCAGGGCCTTCAAGAGACTGCCGTGACTTTTTCGAGGGCGGCTCGCTCTCAACAACAGGTTGTACTGCATCCTTTGGTACATCCGCGCTCTGTGCTTGCTGTTGTCGAGCTCTGCGCGCTGCCAAAGCAGCGACGGCGCTAACAGGGCCTAGAGAAACGACATGTGAGCTTCAAATTGGTGTTGTAGAGCATGAATAGAGGGCTTACCAGCTGGTTGCTGTTTTTCAGCCTTTCGCTTCATCATGATAATATAAAATTCAAGCGCAAGAGCTTTGAGCTTGTGTTAAAAAGGAAAATGACCTCGATAATGCGCCGATAAGCAAAAAAAGTTGACTGGTGGTCCGTGCCCCGCGGAGCAGAAAAAAAAGATTGTTGAACTTGAACATCCTCACTCAACGCCGATCCAATTCATTTGGCAAAATCGGCTTTGCTGGAACTTCTCATATATATCCTGTGCATTGACTCTTTATCCAGTTCCATTTATCTTGTTGATCTCTTGTGTGCCAAACGCCGCGCATCTTTGCGAAATCGTTTTAGTCCCAGCCTCGAGTTTGCCCAACACATTGAACAGCCGCCATGGCATCATCCGACAGCGATAGCAGCTCGAGCAGATCGACCTCGCCCGAGCTTACGACTGAGAAGGAGAAAAAAATGACCCAACACTTGAAGGCACAGCAATCAAGCGAAGATGAGACCTCAGACTCAGGTTCAGACTCGGATAGCGACTCCGACGATTCCAGCGAAATGAAGCCCAGCTCCAGCTCAGGCAAGAAGTAAGAGATTACTGCACCACCAGCTCTGACGGTAACTAATCCATGCGTCCATAGGGGCGTAATCTCCGGTCCTCAGCCATACAAACCACCCGTGGGTTTCAAGTCTGCAAAGAAGCAGGCCCCGCCATCCTCCAAAGCATCCTCCCTCCTCTCCAACCTCAACGGCAAACAAGTCCTTCACCTCACAGCACCAGCCTCTCTGCCTTTGTCTCAGGTCAAAGAGGTGTGCATGGCCAAGGTCATGCAGGGTGAACCGATCATCTCTCATGGCGGTGTGAACTATGGTATCCCAGTCGAGGCTCTTTCCGAGGCCGGTCCCGCAACTAAATCGCTACTTCTTTTCGACGAGAATACACAAACATATCGCACAGCAGCCCAAACTGTCTCAAGTTACCACGTTCAAGAACTGATCGGTCTCCCGAGCACATCGAAAAAAACCGATGCTGTAGTGACAGAAATGCGCAAATATGTCAAGCCAGCCCGGCCGCAGCCGAAGAACTTGAAGATGCGCTTCCGGCCTGTCGGCACAACCAGTGCACCTCCAGAGACTCTTGGATCTAGCTCGGAGTCCGAGGCTGAGGTACCTTCGTTCAAAGTTCCCAAGGGAGAGGAACGGAAGAGGAAGCTCGATCACGATGAGGCTGAGGATGAAGCTCCCCAAGCGGCGGCGCTTCCTCGGAAGAAGTCAAAGAAGCACTCACAAGAAAAGGAGGAGGGTGATAGTCTGAGCCGGAAGAAGTCCAAGAAGTCCCACAAGGACAAGGAGGAAAAGAAGCGGAAGAAGTCCGAAAAGGCATGATTTGGCGTTAGTGTTTTTTTCTTCTTTTCTTTTTTGAAAATAGCTTTGTTTTAACGACGTCCCCAATACTATGTATAACTTACAGTCTTATCTTTTACCTTGGATCTGTTAGCTCTTATAACCGGCTGCAATTTAAAGCATGAGTTTGGCTTTTTTTTTTCCTTGGATAAGTCATAAGAGAGCTTCAACTTCAATTTGGCAATAATGAATAGCATAACTATCGCTAAGACCACCTATTTTTGCTTTTTGGACGGGAATCTCAACGAAAGTAACTAAGTTCCAGGATCAAGTCAAATTTAGAAGAAAGATTAGAGAATACTAGCTTAATACACACATCGAAAGATAGAACCTACAAGGCTGTATGTTGTAACTATAGATATGATCTATATATTTTGCCTCAGGCATCAAGCTGACATAAGGGGCGATGGAGTCATAGATCACATGCATGCGGAGAGAGCCCAGGTGATGTTTCTCCCTTTGTGTATTTTAAGATTTCTATGAACACTTGGATAGCATTGCTTTCCATTATTTCCACTTCTATAATATCTGCAAATAGATCATGGCGCTTAGATGATTTGAAGTGTGGTTTGACAGCCTCATCCATATCCGGTGTCCAAGCTTCAAAACGCTTATCGGCCTAGACCCTGGAATCCCGTGCGTTGTTCATCATTCACCCTGCTTATCACGATCTGGCGCCTGACCGAGGGTTTGAAGTGACAAAGTCACTTGGCGTTCAGGTTGATGTGTCTTCCCATTTGACCTGTGCATACCCGATCGTCATAGTTCCTATCGGTGCCGAGCTGTCACCTGGCTCGAGCTTCTGACTGCCCGACCGGTTTTAGTGATTCACCACGCCCTAGCATCGTTTACTCCCGTCCTTGACCTACATTTTGCATCGATCGTATCGTATCGGTATACCAGAGATAAGAATGAGACCACTAAGAGATGATGCCAAACGTCGGGCAGATCGGCAGTTGAGCGCAAGTATGAAACCTACTTCGTCCAACCGTC